AGATTTTGTTTTTCTTTCACATAATCTGGGCAAGTTGCCCAGGAAATATGAAAAACTGAACTCGGGACTCAGGGAGCAAGTTAAACAAAAAACAGAATTGCCTTTTAATTTTAAAGACACATTTTCATTCACTAGGTACAGTCATACCCACCTTTGCTCAAAAGCACGTAAGTGTTTCCAAAACTTAACACCCCCCTACCCCATAAAATGGCACCACCTTAATGCTTCATATTTTATACTTAGTATTTTAGAACAAGGCAGTGGCTGTCCCTACAAAAAGTCCTTTGGAGTGCCCTGGGATAACTGGCCATGTCCTCCAGAGGAAACAGCAGCCCAGAGAGGAGCAGAGCCAAGTGTCCCACACCACCAGACCCCTGCCCAAGCTGGCAGACAAGTTTTAAGACTTTATTATGACTGGAGTTCAGAGGTTGGATGCTCAGCTGAGTGATCTGAGAGGAGAGAGCACAGCCCCCCATGAGCAACCAGGAACACGGTGACAGCAGCTCCAGAGCAGAGACACTCATTTAATCAAAGGCGATGTTCACTCACACATCACAGGTTCTTTTTCACGGGCCGTAATTACAGCCTGAGCTGGGCTTGCTCTTCCTCATTTAGCGCAAAGCAACCTTCCCATCACACCCTCTGTCGCTGCAGACCTTGACAGGAAGTTATAAAGATTTCAGAGATGTTTCCTAACGTTTGAGAGCTGAAAATTAGAAATCTTTAAGGTCCACCGTCTGCTAAGGCCTCTGAAGCAGCTCCCAGTACAGAAATATATATTTCAAAATTAACTTTTCTTTCCATCAAATCTGAAAAAAATAAGTTTGCAACAAGAGATTAACTCAGGCACAGATGAAGATGAGGCCTGTTCAGGCTGACAGCTAACCCCATTTCCCCTCTTGAGATTCCATTTTGTTACCTTTCTCCCTCATTTTATCAGATAAACAGCACAGTTTAATCACTAAATTCAGATACTGCAGTCAGATCTCCAGAATTAAGTCTTCCCAACTATTAACATCTCCCATTTCTTCATTTGTCTCACTCTCCAAACTCTGGTAGTCACCTGCTGGCTGCACCTCGTGGCAGGAGAGATCCAGACTGGTTCTCTAACTTTCTTTAAAAAACCTGAACAAGACCTTATCCAAACTCTCCTCTTCCAAAAACACAGCTCTGAACTCGGGCCGATGAGGACATGTGCAGGGTTTAATGGAATTATGTTTACTCAAGTTCCGCATCACCCAGACTCTCACTGATTTGGGTATGACAACTCCTGGCCCAGCTGAGAAAGGACAGAAAGCTTTTATTCCAATTTAAACGATTTGTCACAGAAAACTGCATCCTCAAACATGCAGCTAAACTCCTGTTTACAGGGAAGGATTTTCAAACCGAGTCTTTGCTGCTTTTCATTCCAGATAGACATTGTATTCCTGGAAGTCATGAGCAGGGACATGGTATTTATAAAATGCAGCAACGGAAACGCTGCTTCTCAGATCACCTGCCACTGCAACTGCCCAGTGCTCAGAGCTCTTTTTAATGGAAGGATAAACATTGGGAAGAGAGGCAGGCATGCAGAACTTACTCATTATTTGGTCTCATCACTGTGCGATTCACCCGAGACCCTTCCAGGAATTAAATTCCCATTTAGGCCTAAGTTGACCCACCTGTTTCTCTCACAGTCCAGTAAAAAAAAAAAAAACAAACCTAACAGAAAAATGCAAAAACAGGTGCTGTTTGGGTTCAGGCTGAGATACCACTGACCTACTTTAAGAAAATGGTCCCAGAAAAAAGCAATTTTCCAGTAGAGGAAAATTGTATGGAAGGAGGTGGGGGAAAGGCCCAGAAACAAAAATATGTACTGCTTGCCCTTTCTCCCACTCCCCAAGCTTTACCCTTTCCCTTGGGCTCGACCTAGGAATCCTCAGACCTTATCTTTACCTCTCTGTCCACTGAGTCTCATCCTCCCTGGAAAAGCCTTTTGAGGTTCCTGAGGACAGGCAGCAAGTGAAGCCTGAGCAGGGAAGGGTGGAGTGCTGAACTCCAGAGACAGTCTTTGTTCCAGGCGTTCATTAGATAATGGCAGTGGCCTTCACCAAAACACGAGTTATAAACAGGGCAAAAGGAAGTGACTTTGGTAACAGCACCGCTCAGTTTTCACCCCTGCCTTGCATGATGTCACACTCTCACCAGCTCTCCGGTTACCGGATGATCTGCAAGAGCAAATGGGACTGAAATACAGCATTAAAAAAAAAAATAATAAAAGGCAAAAGAGGGGAAAAAAGGCGTAAGAGAAAGCCACAGCCACATCTGCCTGGTCATCTGCTGCTTTATCACCTCTGACGAGGGAACACAAGTCATTCCTCATTGCTAAATCATTACAAATCAGCTATAACAGTACCACAACCAAGTTCCACAATTAACTGCTCCTGCAGCATATCAATCCATTAAGCCCCACACAGCTGTGCTACCTTGGCAGTGCGGCTACAGGGAAAAAAACACCGTCCCCATCCCCGCCGCGCCAAAGCCAGGCCGGGGGCGGGCAGGGAACCGGGCAGGGGGAACCGGGCAGGGGAACCGGGCAGGGAACCGGGCTCCAGGCACCCCCGGCTCTCCCCGCTGCCCCGGTCCCGCTCTGCTCCACCGCCCCCTCCGCCGATTTAAAGCGCTGCTGACTTCTCAATTAAAGAAAAAATATATAATCAGCTTGACGAGCGTCGCTGTTCCCGTGCCAGAATGGAAATCCAAGAGGATACGCTAAAGCAGGGAAGAGCATCAGAGGTTCCTCCATGAAAACAAAGGCTATAAAAAGGACAAATATGGTTTTAAAGAGAAAACGTCTGTATCGCATACAGATCCCAGGACTGCCAGCCCCGGCAGAGGTTCAGAGGCACACACAGCCACACTCACACCTCAGCCAGCCCCAGAATGTTTTATCCCCCCAGCGAGTCCTGCCTGACTTCCCACCCCAGAATCGGGCTTCTTCCTCACCTTATTTTCTCAGGCACAAAGCACCCTGTACACAACACATGACATGATGTAACCACCAACACGGCCGTGGCCCAAACCAGTTCAAAATATAATGGTCAGTCAAAACAAATAAAAAACCTGCAGTTCCTCCCATATCCTGACCGGTTTCATGGAAAACTACAGTTTGTCATTCAAGTGCATTTTACATAACAGGGAATATAATCTATGGAGTGCCTGCCTTCTGCTCCACCTGGACACAAATTCAAGGAGAGGAGAGATGACACCTCGGTTTGGAAGGTGGGTCTGATTTTTGGGGGGAAAATAAGTTTAGTTCCCAATATATTTAGCTGCTTTATTTTTCCTCCTACATAACCCCCATTTATACCCAAAAAGATGGAAATTTCTCCGTAACCAAGCGCTGGAAGATGCTAATCCCGTGATGGAAGTAAACACACGTAGGGATCACGGAAAGCATTTCAGGGTAGCCGGACCCTTCCAGCTTGTTTTGGGGAAAATAATCCTGGATCGGCAGGGCCAGCTCGAAATAAATAAAACACAAAATATGCGGCTGGAAAGTAAATAGAGGGAAATGGTTTTGGAGCTGGAAGCCACCTGGAAAACGACGCTATTGTGCACCCCGGGAGCAGGGAGACCGCCCGGTGACACGGCTCCCGCCGATGACAGCCCATCGGGATTACCGGCACCGCTCCGCTCCTATTTTCCAGGCGGATTTGGGGCCGCGGGACCTGCTCCCTCCACGCGTTTTGCAAGCTTTGAGGTTATGCAATTTAATTTTTTTTCTGTTTACTTTTAAAACTTCGCGTGTGCCCCCCCACCCCAGCCCCCCTTTCCCACCAGGTTAGGGAAGGTGGCCCCCCTCCCTCCCGTCCGTCCGTCCGTCCGTCCATTCCCTCCCCGGGGGCAGTGGCCACGTGAGAGGCCCCGGCCCGACCCCGCGGGACCCCCGGGGCCGGAATTTCGATATGGAGCGGCGCCGCCGTCCCCCGCCCGCGGCGCACCCCCCCGCCCCGGGGAGACGCAGCACCGGGGGCGGCGGGCGAGGGGGGGGGGGTGCGGGGCGGCTCTCCTGCCGCGACCCCCGCACTTTCCGCCGCACCGGGGAGGGGGAGGGCAGGGGAGGGGGGGGCTCGGAGAAGTTGGGGCGCGGCGTTGGCGGGGCCCGGCGGGGCGCGGCGGCTCTAACAAAGGGGCGGCGGGGGAGGCGCGGCGGGCGCGGGGCGGCGGGCGCGGGGCGAGCGGCACCTACCACGTGACGAGCGGCGAGCGCGGTCCGGGCGGGCTCGGCCGCGGCGAAACGGGCGCAGTTCGCAAACAAACCAGGCGGGCCCCCCCGGGACGAGGGGCGGCAGCGGCGGCGCCGCCACCCCCGGCGCCCCCCCCGCCCGCCCCGGCGGAACGGGGGATGGGCTCGCCCGTCTCCCTCGGCGGCCGCAGCGCTGGGGGTGGGGGGGGAGGGGGGGAGCGGGGCCCCCCCGCCCCCGGGTCGGAGCGCTGGGGCGGAGCGGGCGCTGCGGCGCTTCTCGTCGGCGCGCCCGGTCCCCCCCTGCTCCGGGCGAGCGCGGCGGCGGCGCGGCTCGAAAATGGCGGCCGGGCTCCTTCCCTGCCCTCCCCCTCCCGTCAGCCGGAGAATGCACCGGGGGGAAGGAGGAGGAGGACGGCGAGGAGGCGGGGGGGCGGGGGGCGCCGCCGCAGCGCCCCCGGCGGCCGCGCCGCGCAGCGCAACCCGCGCCCGCCCGCAGCCGGGGGGCCCCGCCGAGCGCCCGCCGCGGCCGCGCGGAGGAGCTGCAGTGCGGGAGGGGAGGGGAGCGGGAGGGGAGGGAGGGGAGCGGGAGGGGCGGGCACCGGCACCGCCGCCGCCGCCGGGGAGGGAGGGCGGGGAAGGGGAGGGAGGGGCGGACCCGCCGCCTTTTGTCCGCCCGCCGCGGCCCCGCCGCTGCCGGACACCGCCAGGGGGAGCCCGCGGCGGCGCGCGGGGCACGCCGGGACTTGTAGTCCGCCCGCCCCCGCGGCCGGGACGCGCAGGACGCGGCGCTGCAGGAGCGGCGCCGCTTTAACGCTGCTTTAACCGCTTCCTGCCCAAAATGTGCGGCACTTCCCGCTCTGCCACCGCAAGCTCACTCCCGGGAAACACAAAATACCCCCAACTCTCGCCGTTTAAGCGTTTCCCCGCCATCCTGCAGGTGACGCTCCCCGCGGCCAGCGCAGCCCCGGCCGCTCGCTGCCGGCCCGGCCCGGCCCGCTCCGGCGCGGTCCCCGCTGGAAACCGGCCCGAAGGCTGCACGCAGCCCCAGCGGGGCTGGCAGCCCGCCAGCGGGGCTCCTGCTGCTGCCCCGGATCCTGCCCCGGATCCTGCCCCTCCTGGCCAGCTCCGCCAGCCGGGACACGCCAGCGGCAGCAAAGCGTTCCATGGGGACCGCAGAAACCACTTCACCTCTTCGACCTTCAGCCTGGCCACTTGCAGCCGGCTGGCGCTGACTGTGCCCAGCACAGAGCCCGGCACGCCCGGGGTGCCACAAACCCGCTGGAAATTCCTGCAGCGAAGGCTCTTCCCTGCTCTGCTGCCTCCACAGCAGGAACGCAGCTCTGCCAAGAAAAAAGTGCTTTATACCATGGTTTGCCTGCAAAGGGAAGGAGCTGCAGCAGTGCCAGCTGTGCTCACCGTCACAGAGAGAACCGGCCCCGGGGAGCTGTGCTGAGCAAAAACAAAACCTGTCCTGCTCGACTGCAGAGCTAGGTAAGGAGGAATCCTCTTTCCAGAACTGGATTATGCAGCACACACAAGTTTATCATTTCCCCCTCGTGATCCAAGTCCCACCACCACACATGGCAGTTCAATACCACAAAAGCAACTGCAGAATACCCAGAGCTGGGAGGGATCAGAGTCCACTCCTGGCCCTGCACAGGAATCCCTCCACGTGCCTCAGCAATGCTCCCCTCCTCTAAAAACCATTTGGAGATACAGAGTCAATACACTACTGTTACTCTTTAAAATCCAGTATATTGCTCAACAAACCACACCATGGCACTGTCATTACAGCTGGGTTTTTTGGGCCAGGATATTCACATTTAATCATTTCTCTAAGGACATGTGTGACCACCTAGGCTTGCAGCCAGAGCCACCCCAGAGGTCTCTGCTGACCAACAATGTTCAAAACGCAGCTTATACCTAAGTGTTTTTCCAAGAAAAATATTCACCTAAGGACAGCAGTGAGACCAATGCAGGTTTTTACGCCCTAGCAGGGAACTGCAGACAACCAGCTCCACTGGCTGTCCCTTGCAGTCCCAGCTGTCCCCTCAGTGCTGGCCATTCCCCAGGCTCAGCACTCTCATGCAGTACCTTAAGAAAATGGGTGTTGAGACCTTGAACGTGGGTTTAAGTCAGTGATGGAACAGTGCCAAGGAGGACAGCAGGGCAGTGTGTTATCAGCACCCCACGTCCAGCACCCAGCAGGGTCACACAGTGAACACTAGCTATTCTTAAGGGTAACAAAAATACCTTTTCTGAAAGACAACGGCATGAGGAACTCAGCAGCTGCACACTCTGTCCTGATCTCCTTGCCTCACTTGGAGAGAATTTTAGGGACACAGGACCCTATGATGGCATGCAAACCTCTGGTGTTATTGGCTTTTTTAATCTACCTTGAATTAGAGCTCAGCTAAAAAAAAGCTGAAGTAGCAACAAATGTGGTTTTATACTGGGCAGAAGAGTGAGGACAATCTGTTGTGGAGGAAGTTAAAAGAAATTCCTGTGCAATAAAGCTTCTGGTCTTTTGTTCACTGTGCAGTGCAGGACTTTCTGCTGAGGCACAGATCAAGAGCCCAGATTCCAGCTTGACATTCCAGTACAGGTCTGGATCTTCCTGCAGCACAGACACAGCTGCAGCTTCCATCGTCCAGCCTGACCTGGAGATGAGTAGCAAAAATTGCTGTGCAGTGTAAAATTACACATGTACCTTCTATGGCCCTGCCAGTCTCAGTTTCCCACTCAAAACTGTGCTACAACTGGTCACCTGGCCACTCCAGGGCCAGCCACCTACCTGTCCCTCACACAGGATGTTCCTGATCTGGAGATGCCCCCATGAACAAGAGCAGCTCTCCCCAGTGAAGCCCCATTTTTACAGCATCATCCTTTGAACTGTCCTGTTCTGCCAAGCATCCAGAACACCCAAACCACAATATCTGGTGAGGGCTGTGTACCCAGCTACTCACACCTAATTGTTACCTCGTCTTTCCACCTGTTAATCCTCCTCACTTCCTCTGATTGGACCTGCCTCAGAAATGTAATAGTCTCTATACAGTAAGTATATGCATATCGGTACATAAAATAATTCTTAAGTGTTATTATTTATGACTTTTGAGCCTAAACCCGTGCTATTTCAGTTTGGGAAACATCCTGAATGTGGGAAAGGCGGATGGCCGCTAAAAAGCACAATGATGAGACTCTACCTGCTCTTAATACCAATACTTCCTATCACAAGTCCGGCATGGGAGAATCAGAGCCCAGGCAACCACAGGGGAATGGCAAAGGGAAGGAGAAGGCAGCGAGTCCCCGTTGTGTGAGCAGGGCACAGGCAGAGCTGGAGCAGCACATTCCCCTGGGAAGGAGCAGGCAGGGCTTCCTGCTCCTCTGCTCCCACAGACCTCCTGCCCCTCTGAGGAGCTCCGAGCTTCCCAGAACTCAAGGGCTGGAATGGAGTTGGTCTCTCCTGTGACAGTAAAACACTGCAAACTGTGACAGTAAAACACTGCAAACGGTCACAGTAAAACACTGCAAACTGTGGCAATACCAGGTGCCAGGAGCTTGAGCACAAGTGGGGGTCACAGTGAGAAAGGGCCTCAGACAGGTCCTAGCAGAGCTGTAAAGCAATTCAACTTCTGACACGCTCAACACACTCCAAAAATCAAAGTCCAGCAAAATCTCCCCTGCAGAAGCAAACACCCCTCAGCAGCAGAGCTGCCAAGGGATGCAGCGGCCGGACACCCAGCCGGACATGCCAACGGCCGGACACACCGAGTGCCCCAGCAGCACATGCAGGCACTGCTCCTTCCCCCAGCTCCTGCCAGCTCACGGGAGGCACAAAGGATCCAGGGCACCCTCCCGGGGCCCCTCCTGCCCTGCTTCCCTGCCGGGCGCTCCCGCAGCCTCCCAGGCACCACCCCAAACCAGCACCATCTCCCCATCCCACAGGCTGCAGCTCTCTGGAATCTTACTGGGTTTTCTCCTCCAGCTTTCCAGGCTGCAACATGAGACTGAGGAGTTGGCATTTAGGATGGGGACAAATGGGACACTCACAGGGCTGACAACACCCCAGTGCCCAGGTGGGTGAGGCTCCACACAGCCACACATCACACCCCAGCACGTCAGTATGTGGCATTTTGGAAACGAAGACAAGTCTGCAGAGAAGTTATCTCCTAATTCCCACCAGTATCAGCAGGAGCTGTAGCAACACAGATTTCCAAGGTATTCAGTGATAACCTCCAAAACCCACAACAGGGAGATTTAATTTCACTTTTAAAGCCCATAAAACAACTCAGTGTTATTCTGTGTACAAAGAGCAAGAGCTTTGCTGCTGTGTTGGCCGACTGGAGATCAGATACCACAGCAGATTTGGGTAAGGTCAGTGTGAACAGATTGAAATAAGATTTTTGGTTTTCCCATTACAAGAGAATTTGTTTAAATTCAGCCTCAATAATTGGCCTAAAGTCAGGCTGCTTTGACTTGTAGATTTATGAAAAGAGGGAAATATCCTTCCCTTTAGCACTTCTCTTCAGGTTTTATTCAGCTGCAAAGAACTCGATTCCTGTACCTGAGTGTTTAGGACACATTTTTAATGTGTAATAACATCAGCAAGGCAAGAGGTCACTTTTCTAAAGAAGCACCAGCAAAGCCTCGCCAGGCTCCACTCTGGACCCAGGAGCACCACGGCTGCTTCACACACTGGGAAACCAGAGGAACAGAAATGTGAGCAGGAAACTCCAGCTTTAGACCTTTGGTTGCCACAGGACAAAGCCCCTCTGACAGGTGTACACAAAACTCTTTTGATACTATAAATACACACATAAACCAGATCAAATCAGGAAGTAAAAAGGACCTTATAGTGTAAACCTGGGGTTTAAGGATGAAAACAATAAAGAGAGGAAAAAGAAAGCAGGAGATCTTTCTTTTGCTGGACAAGTCATGCCTTGATGTCTCGATGCTGCTGCACACAAGGACAGGTAACACCTGAAAATACACACACAAGCTCCTTAGAGGAGCCTCCACATCTCTTCACTACAGGCACTGGAATGGCTTTGGAGAGAGAAGCACCCTGTACACACACAGGATGAATCCACACTTCCAACCAACATACCAAACCTCCATTTTAAAGTTGTGCATCAGCCAAGAAACTACGTGCAGGGCTCCAGCGTCACCCTGCAGGGTCAGGAGCCCAGGCAGCACCTGCCAAGGCAGCCGGGCACACTGAACGGGCCGGCGCCGGGAGCGGAGAGCCCCGAGCAGCCGGTGAGCGGGGCAGGCGGGACGTACCTTGCTGGGCATCCTGGCCAGGCCCATCCTCACTCACACCTGCGCTCCAGGTGGGCAGCCCGGGACGGCCTCCGGGTCCTTCCAGCCGCCGCCGGTGGGATGGAAGTTTCTTACCGATTTACTCGAGGAGGTGGGAAAGTGCGGGAGCTGGGGACAGAGAGGGCTGTCACAAGGGGTCCGCCGCCCCCTCCCGCCGCTACCTCCATCCCGCCGCGGGCCGCGGGGCCGGGCCCGGCAGCGCTCGGGGCGCGGGGCCGGGGCCGCCGCCACCCCCAATGCTTCCAGAAGCCCCCCGGGCCCGGCCTCGCTTCCCCGGGCTAAAATGGAGCCGCGGGGCGGGCGGGGGGGACCCCGCTCCGCTCGGAGCCGGCCGGGCCCGGGCCCGCGGGGCAGCGCGGCGGGGCGGAGCGCTCCCGGCGACCCGGGCCCGCCGCGACCCTGCCCGCGACCCCCGACTCCTGGGCGGGAGCAGCCGCCTGCCCCCCCCGGCCCCGCCGCGGCCCGGCCCCCGCAGCCGAGCTGCAGGACGGCGGGGCCGGGGCGGCCCGCGGGGCGGGGGCCGTGACCCCCGGGCCGTGCGCGCCCCCGGCCCGCGGCCGCTGCGCGCCCCCCGCCCGCTCCTACCTGCGCCGCTCCGCCGCCTTCAAGCGGGGACCTTCCGCCCTCCCCCGCGCCCATTGGCTGCGCGCGGGGCATGGGCGCGCCCCATTGGCTGCGGCCGCGTCAATCAGCGCGGGGGGCGGGGCGGGCGGTGATTGATGCGGTGCCGCCGCTCGGCCCCTGCCCCGCGCCCCCCCGCCCGCGCCCCCCGCCCCGGGACCACCGGGCCCGGCCCCGGCCCCGCTCCCCACGGGCCATCCCGGGCACGCCCCCGCCGCCCGGGGCGGCCGCGGGTCCAGCCAGGCCGCGGGAGCACCGGGCGGGGGGCGGCGGGGGCGGCCCCGGGTGCGGGACGGGGGTCGCGGCGGGGGGACACGGGGAGCCGGTGTCCCGCAGGTGGCACCGGGGCGGGAGCCGGGGGACGCTCGGAGCGTCCCGCGGGCCGCAGGCCACTCGTGCCCCGTGTGGGGCGCGGGCCCCGCAGCGGGGAGGGACCTGCCGGGGCCCGGAGGCCCCGCCGGGAGGGCGAGCCCCGGCACGGGGGGCGAGGGCTGCGGTCCCGCCGGGGACACCGGGCCGTGTCCCTGTCCCGCGGGGGGCAGCGGGCTGTGGCACCGCTGGCCCGTGTCCCCAAGACACGGGACTGCCCTCGGTCCCTGGTGACCCTCTGGCTGCTGGCCCCGGGGTTAGGGTTAGGGTTAGGTTCTGCCATCTCCTCCAGACACAGAAAACTCCTCAGTGGCTGCTCCTGACCACTGCTGTGGGCACAGCCCTCCAGCTGCTGCCACTCTTGCTTTTTCAGTTTGTCTTTTAGTTTTTATCCCAGTCACGGGACAGGTAAAACTCCAATAAAAGACTCGACTCCATGTCCCACAGGCCAAAATGCAGGTGAGCTCCTTCACTTCTCACTGGTGGTCCTGGGCAATGAGAGTCGCGTTTCCCTTTGGGACAGCAGGGCTGGGAGAGGATCATGGAATCCTGGAATGGTTTGGCTGGGAAGGGACCTCAGAGCCCATCCAGCGCCACCCTGCCATGGCAGGGACACCTTCCACTGTCCCAGGCTGCTCCAAACCCATCCAGCCTGGCCTGGGACACTGCCAGGGATGGAGCAGCCACAGCTGCTCTGGGCACCTGTGCCAGGGCCTTGCCAAACTCTGAGTAAAGATTTTCCTCCTAATATCTAATCTAATTATCTCCCAGGTTAAAGTGGTTCCCCTTCTTGTTCTATCTACCTGTGTAAAAGGTTACTCTCCCTCTTTTTTTCTAAGCCCCTTTCAGGACCAGAAGGAAGTTTGAGATGCTCCAAACACACTTTGAGAGTGTGTTTGGATCCTGATCCACACAGAGCAGCTGCAGTCACTGTCCTTGCTCTCCCTTCCCCAGGGAACATGAAACAACCTGGTTGTTTTTCCTGGTTATCCAGGAAAATCCAGACTATGACCTTATTCTGAGGTGACAAAGTCTAAAAGCACTGGGATCCCTGCCTTAGAAAAACCCAATTCTGCTCCACTAGAAATAAAAAGCAGTTTGTGCTCATGGATCAGCTCTCACTCAAACAAAGTCACAGACTTGGGCAGAGGGACAGAAAATAAGACGTTGCAGCAACAGTTAGTGACCAAGAGAACAAGTGCAAACCTCAGTGAGATGTAGGTGCTCCTAAACAGCTCCTGGTGTCACCACACAGCTGTGACTCAGCCCTGGAACCATGGACAAATCCAACTTCATCGCTGCTTTGCCTTTCTCTGGAGGCACCTAAAGCTCAGCCTGCCTGAGCACAGCCCAGGTCCAGCACCAGGCAGAGCCCAGCTGCATCAGCCAGCCCCAGCCCACACCAGAGGCTGCAGTGGGGCACAGAACAGCTCGGCTCTTGCTGTGGGGTGGGCACTCAGTGACCCCAGACAGGAACAAATGGCCAGGACCACCAGGACATGGGAGAAAACGGGGGAGCAGCTGGAACGGGTTCATCTCAGTGCAGCTTGTACAGCCAATCTCAGCTCTCAAAAATTACTGGATTAGGTTGGGCAAAATGAGCAACAAAAGGTTCAATCCAAGATGCCTACATGCAGCAGGAGGAATTTCTGCTTTTCCTCCAGGTCTGGAACTGTAAGAGACTGTGATAATTAATTTCTCTGCTGAGCAACAACAGCTGCAGCCACAGGGTGGGGACCTGCTACAGAAGGTAGGAAAAAAAGAAAATAAAACTAACCTGCTCCATACCCAAGAGCTTCTTGAATCTCCTGTTGCTGCAGGATGGAAAGTGAGGATGAGCAGCAACTTCTCTGGGCAGCCTGTGCCATGGCCTCACCAGGAAGGATTTCTCCCCAGTATCACATTCATCCCTGCCCTCGGGCAGCGGATGGACACATGGCAGGAGACATTCCCTGTGTCCTGTCCCTCAGGCCTTGTCCCCATCTCCTGGAGCCCTTCAGGCCCTGCCAGGGGCTCTGAGCTCTCCCTGGAGCTTCTCCTCTCCAGGTGAGCCCCCCCAGCTCTCCCAGCCTGGCTCCAGAGGGGCTCCAGCCCCAGAGCAGCCCTGTGGCTCCTCTGGACTCGCCGCAGCAGCTCCGGGTCCCTACACCCAGTGTCACACCCACATCACACCTCCCACCTCACCCAAAATTCCAGCCAGCACCTTGCAGCCCACGTGGAAGGCGGTGGGAGATTTACAGGCGACATGTGGAGGCTCAGGTAGCACAGGACAGAAAAGAGCCCTGTGCGCCCCAAGGTGCCCTTAAACCTTTCCCAACCTCTGTCGCTCGCCCAGCTTCTGAAGGACAAATCCCACCCCTGACCCAAAGCACCTGGGGCTAAGCCTGCTTTTAAAAGTAATTTATTTGGATTTTCCACATCCTTTCATGAATTGCAAATATATTAACAGAAAAGAAATTTTTCCCCCTAGGACTGTACAATTTTTGAAATTAAAAAAAAAAAAAAAAAAAAATCAAGAAAAGCCCAAAAAAATATCAAGGACAAATTACATTATTTCAATGCAAATAGTAACACCACACCCACGCTTTGCATTCCTCCACAGTTTTGTTGTAAGAAAGTGACAGTTCATTAATTCTCTTCAGTGAACACTTGCTCACCTGCCTGCCAGTGCCTCCATGCTCAGCCTCTTCCTCTCTGTCCCTCCTCAAAGAGCCAAATTTTAGTCCTTCAATACTAATTTTGTGTTTTTCCTTAGAATGTAAAAGCAGCAAGGGCTAAATGCGACCCTGGATTCTTGGGAAAAAAAGAAAATGCCTTTAAGGTAGGATGAACATACAAAGCCAGGAATGTTTTTATGTATTAAATCTTCCAAATAGCACAAAACATTCTTTGAACATCCCAGCTCAATTAAGAGCTTTTTCCAAGGGGTTGAAAGTTTTACTGCAGTTTTCAGGGAAGAAATAAAAAGGAAAAAGGGCCCCACAATTCCTGGATCTCTAGTCCCCACATGAACAACATTTGTTATGGAAAAGTAAATAGCACCTGCTTCCTCCTGCTTTTTGTTTAGAAAATATGCTGGGAAGCGAAAGGAAGCCAATTAACAGGGTAATTAGCGGCATTCCACAAGTGCTGCCTGCAGACCCTAGCTGGAGGTACTGCTCGGACTCCTCTGGTGAGGGATGTTGGGGCAGCTGCCACAGCTGGAGCTGGAAAACCACAGCAGGAGAGGCACGGGCACCTGAGAGCGGGGCCTGGGTGCAGACCGGCTCCAGGGAAACCCGAGCCCTGCGCCTGCCCCAGCCCCAGGAATCCGGGCGAGATCCCCGCTCCAGCCCAGACCGTGATCAATCATCAATAATCCACCAGAACCTCCAGCCCAGCTGATCTAAGTGCAGGGCACATTTAACCTCTTTTAATGCCTCAGATTTTAGAGGAGTTTTTTCACTAGGAGGGGAATTGAAGCCTATTCTTCACCGCCCATCCTCCTACTTCAAAAAAAACCCACCGAACCATGGAATTCTATTTTTCCTCAGAACTTGGGGATGATTTTTCAAAGGATAAAGGTGTCCATGTGGCTCTTGGCCAGAGAGAAGCTGGGACAGAAGAGGTGCCAAGTGGAC